CTACAGACCTTCGATATCGCCTAGTACTAGGGTTGTGTATGTCTGATGTCAGACGCGCCACGTAAAAAATCGAAGTTGAGCCGTATCGTACTCGTCCCTAACCTAGTTTATAAAAAGAATCGGAGTAAGACTGTTATTTTTTAAATTCCGCTTTAACCTTCAAAAACTGTCTTGACCTCTTATAATACTGCTGTCATGAATCCTATGCAAATATTCTTAATATACATCATCTCATTAATGCTTAGACACTCATCTTCGATCACTTTAATTTGAGGAGGAAAAAGCTTATTTTCCTCCTGAATGGAAGTATTGTTACCGAGGATGTGAGTAATTAAGTATTAAAATATACCTAATATACCTAATTATAATAATTTCCAAAAGCTTCTGATTAAACTGTTTCTTTTCAAATTATACAAAATATTAAATCTGATGAAAGTAACCAAATTTTCTACAAGATTTAATTTAAAAAACAAATGGTTACACACGTTTTGTTCCAAAACGTTTTGTTTTAAAACAACTTTTACTCTACTACTTTGAATTACCTAAGTTCCATAGCTTTCTTTCGCTATATTCAGTTTTAACTAAAATACTAACTGTAACTAAATAGCTATTTCATTTCGACTTTTCCTAATTTAATTCAGTTATGTTTTATGCTTTTAAAATATTAGTTTTTTATTTTTTGACCAGTTTCTGTTAGATCCAGTTATGGTTTTAAGTTTATGCTATGCCGCCGTTTTGAACTCTTTACCGTTTGATACGTAATGTAATGAAAAAAAAAGTTTTAAATTAAACAATTAAACCCAAAATCATTAAATATTATGTTTTCTTTTTTATATGTGAAATACTGAAGGATTTATGTATGTATGTATGTATATTTTGCTGGTATATATTAGTATTTGCTTTTATATAAAAATATGTATGTGTGTGTATATATGTGATTTTTTATTATATTATATATATCTAGTTATTATCTCTTTTATATTCGTTAGCAGTTAACCTTATTATTTCCATTTCAAAATCAACTATTATTGTCTCTCTGGAATATTTTGATCCATCCTAAGGTTGCCTGGAAGAGATTGCTCTTAGCAATAAGGGCCGCCCTTTGTACATTATATCTGACACTTTTATATACTATAGGTACTTCTTGTAAGACGGTGTAAAAATAAAGAGTTTTCTATCTATCTATTATCTACTTTATCATCTTTCTATTTATGAAGCAGGTATAATCTAGATAAATGAGACTTTATTTCTGTCATTACAGTAATAGAAGCCTGGTTTTAGCCACCGTAGGACAGCCATGCTTCACGTACATGCACGGCCTCACAGAAAACCGGTGTAAGGCAATTCTTGCCTAGCTTCCGAGTGAGTGAGATTATCGAAGTATTAGGTATTTATAACATCAGCTATTGGCAGTATCAGTGAAACAATGAGATGCCAATATATTTCAATTATTGTGACAAATTGTTCGTTACCGTAATGTTTTTTTAAAATTACTGTAGTAATTTCTTCTGTCACGAAGTACTGTATACTTAGGTGAACATAGTAGTAGTAACTGTAATAGGTTTGGTGATTTGAGTCTACCATTGCCACGTCATCAGTTTCATAGTTTTTAAACAAATCCTTTTTTCAGGATTTGAGCGGAAACAGAGCAAGGGTTAACTAGTAGTAAAACAACCAAATTCCATTTACGTTGCTAACCGAGTATATTTAAAGTAACACAAAAGCAGGGTTATAATAAACATTCTGAAAATCTTAATACCGCGATGTAAAAGTGTATACAAATAGAACAGCGCCATCTAGTGATGGTGATAAAAATTACATAAAACATAACTCACATACCTACAATAACCTACTTGTACAGTTTAAAAAAATATTAAACACTTTGCCGGGTTTTTATTGATCTTCATTTACTTACGTTGACCAGTCGTCTACATTATTTTTCTCTTCATACTGTACCTGGAAATATCCGAAATGAGTGGATGTAAAGGTCATCAGCGTCTATCACGAATTCTAATTAAGGGCTAGAAGTATTACAAAACTTTTAAAATAATGAATCATCCGGTGATGTTTCATAAGTTTTTTTATTTATTTAGGTAAAATACGTGACTCCAACTTGGGAAAGAGAAATGTTTTTAATTGCACCTATGTGCATTATACTGAAAGATTCTACTTTGAATATAAAATATTTATATGCAGATAGAGTGAAAATACAACAGAATCAATCATCATTGAGAGCAGATGATTGAGAGCAGACGTTGTACTTGACTTTTTCATTTAACAAATAGATTCGAGATTTTTACAGCCTACATAATTCTAAGTAGCTTTTTGCGATTTTTAAAGTTTTCATAAACTAAAATATTAATTACAATGCTTGCTCACGGATTACGAATCGCTAATGCTTCTTGAAAGAAAATTATTTACTTCACCGTGTTTTGGACAAAAGTGATCTATATAGTGTTTTATACATACATATAGGTATAGTGTTTTAGGCTTACTTAGGTCAAGTTAGACTTTATGTATCGTTAACTATTCCACTATTATTATTATTATTATTTTTTTTTATTCTGAAAATTAAATTATAGTACATAGGTTACTTAATTCTAAACTCGCCAAACTTTTACGTTTGAAGGCGAGAAGCGCTCTCTCACATAACCATGATTCACCCCATATTCACTTAATATTGGACACAATAGTACATAATATAGTAATATGCATATAAACACATGATATTTTGTTATTACTTTAGTACTACCCTTGTAAGTAAGAATAATATGTAAGTAATATATGAATTAAATACTAACACCACTTATACAATTTTTTTTTTTTTTTTTTTTGGTTTAATTTACTATAATGGACACTTATTTATTTCTAGTCGCAATCCTGTATAATGGTTTTTAATTTTGTCTTAAGTGACCCTTTACTGATTTTTACTTTTTCTCTTAATTGCTTTTTAGCTTCATGACTGTTTCATTATTATATACCTATGTATTATATACCATGTATATTATGTGTGGTAGCGTATGCGACTGCTGTGCTGAGATCTCGGTTTTGATTCTTGGGTCGGATCAAATTTTTGAATGATCTGCAAATATTTGTTTCGGAGTTTGGGTGTTGTCTATGTATAATATGAATGTATTTACAGAAAAATATATATAAGTATTTTATAAATCAATCTAGCTTTCATAGTACAAGCTCTGTTTAGTTTCAACCTAGGTGGCGTTGTGTGTCAGATGTCTGAAAATATTATTATTTTTATTCTCTTTATTTATTTTATACACTTATTAATTATATTTTTAAACAGACTCTTAACAACAAAATACTTTATTAACAATGTATAAATAGAAGGCCACCGACATCGGGTACAGGGACCAAGACACCGGTGGTTAGGACTACAGGCCGTGTCAAGTCAACTGCCTCCTGCATCCGAATGTGTAATACATATTTGTACTAAATCGTTTACGTGGTCACTTTAACGTAAAAACTTTTTCTAAACTCATTTACTTTCTAACTTCGTGTACTAAAAGCTTTAATTTGCCATTACCGTTTTAATAAACTTATGAATATTATCGCTATGTTCCAAATCTATGTTGAAATAATTTCGCTTTCACAGTTTAGTATCACGCTATATTTGCTTAATTACCAACACTTAAGTCTTTTCTAGAATATTCGTATATGTACGAGTAAATATTAACTAACAATAGTAATATAAATAAATAAACAAACTAGTTTTAAATTATACTGCTGATTAAATATTATAATTGAAATCACCCATTTAGGTGATGTGTCGAGGAGTTGATGTAAACTCGAAAATAACTTTTTGCACAATAGCACCATTTTAGGCGGTGAGCTTCAGTCTTATCAAGACATAAAGACCCTTATGAATTTATCTTGAATGGCGTTGACAAAAATGTGAATATAAATAATGTGTTGAATAATTCAGCGTGTTATCGGTATGGAAGAACAGTCGAGATGGTAAAAACGGTGCGCAGTCGCGCGCTGCCCGCCGGAATGCCACTGCGCCGTTTTTACGTAATTGTCCCGATGCACGCACTCATCCATTATCTAACTTACTTAGGCACAGTAGAATAAGTTACTTTTTATCTACCCTCTCAAATCATAAGGCACTCCATAAGTTCTCGACAATGCAGAGACCTCTCGAATCCTGTTTAATAATATGAGATGGTTTTTGGATTTAAATGTCCTAAATTATATTATTCTGATTTCATTATTGACACAATCTAATGTACGAAATAAAGCAAAAGTTGCGACCTTTTAATGTAAACGTTTATAACTATAAAACAAAGTTTGTGATAAATGTTAATTACTAATTCATGTCTCGTCACAAGGAGAGCTTCATTTAGCCGATGTCAATGATTCTGTAATTATTAATACTAATTTAAAGCTTTCATTGTTATTCTTGCGGCCGCGTGCGATTATCAATTTTTTGTTAGGACTCAAGTCAATTGTTCTTTTTAATACAAAGATTACAATGCACTTCTTAGTAAGACTTTGAAGTTTATTGCTGTTAAGATAAGGCCCATAAAGAGCAACTAAGTATTATATTGGATGAATCAGTGCTCGACAAGTAACTTGCGTTTACTCACGTTTAGCACTCAAGGAAATTGCATCAATCGGTATCGTGTCGTTATTACTGGTATTTTTATTTAAACCTTTAATTTGATTTTGGCTTTTCTTTTATATCCGCTAGCAAAGAGCAGGTGACAGTTTGTTAATTGGCTTTTTGTCTATTATGTAATACTTGGCCATTTAGAACTTCGTTGTAAAGTTGTGTTTAGTTACATTATATCGATATTTTAGTTTCAATTATAACTTTTTTATAACTTATAATTGGTTTGTACAAATCATTTTGTCGTCCCCTCGGGTTAGTTTTAATAACAAAGTTTTAGTTTTAGTTTTAAAAAAATATAAGACTAATACTTTATGTAATTATAAATATAGTTCTTGGATTGTACTTTATTATAATTTTGTTTTGTTTTTAGGTACTCTTCGACCGCCTGGGTTAATTGGTGGCAGCAAACCCAAGGTGGCAACACCAGCTGTAGTGTCAAAGATAGAACAGTACAAAAGGGAAAACCCCACGATATTTGCATGGGAGATCCGAGAACGACTTATATCTGAAGGTAAGCATACGCACATTATATTATAAATCACCTAAATAATTACTGATAAATCAGAACAGTGATCTGTTCTCCTTCTTCTTGCTCTTCGTAATAATTTACTCAGATAATGGTGAAATTTCTTGTGAAACTCATGTTAGGCATCTGTTTTCCACCTACTTAGTTCATGGATTCCCAGATCATTGAAACAAACAAACAATTATAGACATTAAGTTTGGCTCATAGATGTTTTCTGTGCGTGTGCCATGAATGCCGCCGGCGCTCACGACGACCAGGATCCGATGTAACTGTGCTCATTCATCGTGCACACTCTAAAGTGACGTACACGTTGTTGGCTTATTTTGTTCTTTATACACATTATGTATATAAATACAATTCATACTACATTGTTTGTATTGAAATAATTAACTTTAAGATGTATTACTAACCTTAATGCGCCCACATTCGTGATGAAATTAATAATCAATTAAAAAACATGAAAGAACTTTTTTTTTAGTGACAGACTGACAGAAATAGCCAACTGTGAATCACATTATGTGTGTTACATAAAGTTTTATTTTTTATGTACTTAAGTATAATTATAGTTACACTTAAATATAGTACATATTTGTTAATTGTAAATAAATACTATTGTACCTTTAGTTTGCGCACACCGATGGTGCGCACCTTTCTGCAATACTGGTAGAAAGAGAATATGTCGCAGCTCAAAAATTTGGATAAAAGTAAAACCTATCAGTTTGTAATTAATTAGAAGAAAAGCCCAGTTAAATGGTTCATATCTCGTTTAAAAAACTTAAGAAAACTACAAGCATTGACTTTTTTCTAGTTTTTCAAATTTAATACAAAAAAATCTTTACTAGTTATGAATATTTGAAATACTTTTAGTCTTTGTGTAAAATTGATTATTTCAAGATATGACAAAATCGTGTTTTGCTCGATTCCCATTCTATAAAATAAAAATAAAACGATGTTCTTCGATGAACGCATTATTGAAAAATGGCTTGTCACTACTTTTCCATGAAAAACTATTCGGTTTTGCTAACAGGAAATACTATACAAGTTAAGCTCTCGTGGCGTAATACCGGTGAGCTACTCGCATTATTTGGGCTGGTTGCGTGTGCTGGCCGATACGGAGCCAACTTGTCTGATCATCGAATTATTATACAAGTTATGTTATTAAAATAATTTACGGCAATTTGCAGGTCGTCATTAGGTACATATTCTTCAGTTTTGATCGCAACCAAACTAAACAGTGACGTGCAAATTCTAGAGTTGATTGGATGCTACGTGTTTTTCTAACAGGTTTTTTTGTGATATGTTGAAGGTTTACCGGGTTTTGTGGAGTCTAGATCGTGATGATTGCTAACATATAACCATCTATTTAAAAAGATTAAGTAACATTAACATCTTAAAATAACACAGCAATTAGAGCTTTTCTACTCTTTAAATATAAAGTCATTCATTCAAGATAGATAAGAATTTAGGAAATAAAATATAAAAAACTAATCGAATATCGTTATTTTGCCGATTACCTCATGGTTCACCACCAAACAAGGTTCAAGCGAAGAGGTTTCTCTTGGATAGGCATGTACTTTTGTCCTAAATGCCTAAATGTCAAACGCCTAATCCAATAACGAAATGAAAAAGAGGGAAGGATTAATATTCTATAGTTATTAGTGGCAAATACTGGACTTGCTGCAGTACAACTTGAGCACTATATACTAAATGTATAAATTTACGTCTATTATTTTTCAGAACTCTCAAGTAAAATTTATATTCAGAAAGGTTTTATAACTTTTAAATAACGTACTTTACAAACAAGCACATTTTGCAAAGTTGATTGTAACAAAGGTTGTAAAAAAACGCTAAATCAAATCAAATAATTTATTTTACGAACACATATGTTTATAAGTGTTAAATATAAAAGTATACTAATAAGCAGCCATGTTCTACCTGAAGGCATGCAAAAATATTTAGGTGTATTTTAATCAGTTATAGAAAAAAATATTTTTATAACAAAATATAGGTATGTGTGTAAACTTTCTCACCACATCAACGGAGCCCTGAAGCTCGGGCCATGTACTTGGCGTCTCTGGTAGCAGTCACAACTCACCAGGTGAAAAAGCAAAAACGTGCTCAGTTATGTGTATCTTTTGCGGTCTTCTCTGTGTTGGTATTTCCACAGTTGGACAATTCCTTTTGGTTTGCCATCCTTACCTTATATAAGAATCAAGGAGTGAGACATGATAACTAACGCGGCATGCGTGTTCAAAAAGAATGAATTTATCCCAAATAAACTATGAGTCTAAAGTTTACAAAACCATTAAAATACGGTCGCATATTGGTCTAAATAACATGTGAACGCTTTGTCTACACAGTAACTGAACACTTATCTAATTATGGGATTAACGTATTTGAGTAATGAACTTTAGATGAGTGTCAAATGGTTTTTGGGAGGGAATAGGCAAAGCCATTGAAGTGCACGCCCGAATAAGGCCTGATAGTTTTGTAAATGGCCGTCGGATTATTGAGAGCGGATATAATGTAATATGAGAACATCTATTGGATTTTGTGACTATGTGCGAGCAAAACAATGCTTTAGGTATTATATAACCAAACCTGATTATATTGGTTATTTGAGTAGATCCAGTTTAGAGGTTGCTAAATATACGATATATCGTCCAATTGTGAGGTTGTACGTTACAAGAGCTCTAAACTATAAGTAGACAAAATATTTTTTTTAAATCTATGCATCTCCTATGAATTAAGGAGATTTTTCGGGGAAGGTAGTTATCAACCTAATTAAAGTCAAAAAAATATGAATATATTTCTGAGAAATACAATCTGTTGTTGCCTAATACGTACCTGTGCATGTCTCTTATAAACTCAATGTAGCGGTTCTGTACCACTTTGACGAGACCGTAGAATTCATCAATGTGGAGAACATCTGAATCTTAGAGTTTTCTAGTCAGCAGTTACCACCTTTATAGACTTTTAACATTTTATGGATTAAAAGACTTATTCTGCTGTAATTTCAGCTTGCTATATATATATTATATTAGTTATTTTTATATTAGTTATTAAGAGATGTAAAAAAAATCTTTAAATGGACATATTACAGACCTCTTAACGTCCCGTAAAATGAGTATATAATCTGCAATATACGGGCTGTTTTTTTTCTGTTTCTTGAAACAGTTAATAAAAAAGTTTTAGTTATAATCTTACGATTTTATAGATCCACTTACATTGTACTTTTATTGGTTACCATATTACCATATCAAATATGTACATATTTACTTTAGTGCATTATTTAGTAATATTTCTAAAATTAACTTGAATAAAATTACCTCTATAATTATATGAGACATTTAATTATTTAAACATAAATTATAAAATAACAGCATTTTTAATAATATATGTATGTAATTACATAAGATAAATAATAAATAAAAGAGATCTTATACCATGGCGTATAAAAACTCCATCCATCCATCCATAAAAAAGGAATTACGCACGATTTAGCATTTGGACTGTTAACCGACGATCAAAATTAACTTTAGACCGCTAATCATAAGGTTTAGTTTTCCCTCGACCAATAAACATAACATATAATATATTAAAAAATATGTCAATCTGTTTCTTTGATCTAGAGATCAAATGAAACAATTTGGACAAAATTTCTACGCAATAAAGAGTAATAAATAAAAACGCCGCATAGCGCTGCGGCACCACAGCCAACTGCACAATAAAAGTGTCAGCGTTGCTGGGAGCTTTGATTATAAGCTATCATTGTTACACATATATATATATATATGCAACTTTATTTATATACACCAGCTCTAAATTAAAAAATAAAATACTAATTCAACTTAAAAAAATACTATTTTATCTACAATTTAACTTCTACTAATTATTTTTTATTTCGCTGTCTACAATTTACGTTTTTCATATTATTACGATGATATATTATCAGCAACTGCAGCTACTTATGTATTTCTCACTTGAATATAATAAACATAATGATTAACGTTGACATTCACTGAAAAGTTCCTTAGTATAATGTAACTACAGCACACTAACATGCGCACTCATATCTTAAACTACGATGGGCGTCTTTAGCTCAGAGGCCAACGAGCCAATTGCGATAATTGCCCCAACGACACCTCTCGTGCCCATGCGTGACTTTAAACATCACCTACTAAAACAAAAGACGACTCAAGTACCTACAAACCGCACAATCTAATTATATCTCACCTCCGCATGCTTAAAGTTGAAAATTGCATATCTAATTAAACGTGATTAAAGAGTTCGTTCCAAGGACGTTCTTTGCTTTGATGTTTTCTCTAGTGCAGTTTACTTTGGTTGAGTACTTTCGATCGCATCGAAACTGGTTTTCCTTACAAGACCACTTCTGGTTCACGATATCAGTGGGGACCGGATTAGGAGACGATAACATTCATGATGGGAAACACTGTGCTAAACTGAGTTGTTAAATTGGTTCGCAGCCATTAAATCCCCAGGGGGCACCGTAACTTTGGAGAATATGATTGGGTTAACGTCTAAATGAAACACGTTTTATTTACATGTCATCATAAAAATTGGAAACAGTTCTTATATTGGGGACAAAATATACAATATGTATATTTGAAATTAGATCTTTATAGTATAAGTAGGTATACATATTCTAGACTCCACGGGAGCTCGTTTGTCGCAGCGAAATCGAGTAGGTAAGATGTCTTCTGAGACATGTTAACCATGTGATCTCAGATATAAAGAAATATATTGATTTCTATTCGTCTTCAGGTACGGAAGTAATAATGTCAGCAAATGAGGTCCAATAAGTAAAAATATAAATGCTACCATTTTGAAATGTGAACATGTTTTTATGAATAAGGGCCGAACAATTGCTCAGTGACCGCTTTTATTTTTTTGTGTTTTTTTTATTCTTATCTCGCCGGCCGGCTGACATTATCGTCATTTGGTGAAATGTGTTTAAAATAATT